ACAAAGGCTCAGTCTGGGGCCTACACACAAAGGCTCAGTCTGGGACCCACATACTAAAATAGCAGCACAGAAGCTAGGTCCCATCACCAGGTCACCCGTTATTTTACTACTGCAGGAGTACGCTGGCTGCAGCCAGCCAGCTCAGAGTCAGACCCCTAAACTGAGGAGATACTAAATCCCCAGTTTATATTGGTCAGCCAGGGATTCCTGAATGGCTCAGGTTACTAACCCCAATCAAGGATCTCGTAGTCAATGAGGTCAGTTTGGTTCCAATCAGTACAGTTAACAAACAGCAATTCTAAGCACTCCAGGATTTCTAAGTCATTGCATCTCAGGATCAATATCAGAAAATACAATATACTTCACATTATTTTTATTCACATTACTTCCATTCCAAGCCACTAAAGTAAGATATTCAATACTCTTGTGAGTCAACTGCGTGTGGTTCAGTAATATCTTCTCACCTGGAAGATGTATCTTTGCAGTAATTTAAGTTATAGAGTCATACAGAATGGAAACAGGCCCTTCGCCCCAACTTGTCCATGCCGACCAGGTTTCCTCAACTGAATGAGTCCCATTTGCCTGCATTTGACCCATATCCCTCTAAACTTTTCCTAACCACGTACCTGTCCGAATGCCTTTTAAACGTTGTAATTGTACCCACCTGGCAGCTCGTTCTATATATGCACCACCCTCTGTGTGAAAAAAACTGTCCCCCAGGTTCCTTTTAAATCATTCCCCAAATATCAGCCAAACAAGCTTAAATAACAAGTACCTACCAACATTGTCATCAATACCAATAGAATGAAAGAAGTAATATTTTAATTTTTACTTTACAATGATGACTGTAGTTCAAGAGTACATCATTGACTGTAAAGCATTTTAAGATATCTGAAAAGTGTTATAAAATGCAAGCCTCTTTTTTTTTTAGCACAGCAACCGTGGATTGGATCAACAAATGGGGTGGCACAGTGGCTCAGTCATTAGCACTGCGGCCTCACAGCGCCAGGGACCCAGGTTCAGTTTCACCCTTGGGCGACTGTCTGTGAGGAGTTTGTACATTCTCCCCGTGTCTGCATGGATTTCGTCTGGGTGCTCTGGTTTCCTCCCACAGTCTAAAGGTGTGCAGGTTAGGTGGATTGGCCATGCTAAAGTGTCCAGGGATGATGTGATATGTAAGTAAGTTCTTGTAGGCATCAGGTGTAGAAATTTCACAGTGAGTATAGTAGAGATTTTATCACCAGATCCAATAACTTGCACTCTGGGCTACGGAACAAACTCAAGGAAAAAATAGCAGAAGTTCTGGTCATTTCTTTCCAATTTTCCTTCTCTATGTAAACAAATCGCAGAATGACTAGGATAGGTTTATTCAAATGTCCTTTAGGGAAGGAAACTGCCATCCTTACCTGGTCTGGCCTACATGTGACTCCAGGCCCACAGCAATGTGGCTGACCTTCAATTGCCCTCTGGACAATTAGGGAAGGGCAATAAATGCCGCCTGGCCAGCAACGCCCTCATCCCATTAATGAATAAAGGAAGAAGGGAGACAGCAATAAATGAGTATCTATGGAAGAGTTAATCCAGAGGCTTCACAGTCTGCAGAGAGCTAGAAGCTGAGATATGCCATGTGTATGCCATGCAAGGCCACAGAAGAAAAAAATTCATCATCGGACTAGAACAAACCAGCTCTGGCCTTATGTTAAAGAGTGCTAGGTGTACCGAGGTTGGATCAGTTCCTTGATCACATAGTAGGAATGAGACCATGATCAGGGAATGGCATGGATATTTGTTCATGGTCACCACACATTCTCACTCCTATAAAATCAAAATCTTCTTCCGTTTACTGTTACTGAGATTGACAGAATGCTATGCTCGAACTGTTTCCCCACTATGCCCAACAAAGAGGAGACGCAACTAAAGGTCTGAAATTCCAGGCACATACAGATTGAGAACCATCTCAATCTCAAGAGCCAGCTACAAAGAATCAGTTGCCAGGTCTCAACCACTTCCATCTTATGGTCTGCTCCTGAATAGAAGCACATGGATTGGACGAAAGCAAAAATATACCTAGTTATAGAGGAAACATGAGTGGTGGGAAAATAATATTGAGATTAATAAATAGATATGTAAATTGAGAGTATTGGAACATTGTGAATAGTGTTTGATTCTTTCTGAATGTCTTTTTATTTTAGATAATAAATAATAGGTGTTTGAGTATAATGGTGTATAAAATTTGTTTGGGAAGAAACAAAATTTGTTTAGGAAGAGGAGGCATGATGGTTAGCAAGGCTATCTCACAGCGCCAGTGATCCAGGTTCGATTCCAGCCTCAGGTAACTGTCTGTGTGGAGTTTACATATTCTCCCTATATTTCTGTCGATTTTCTTTGGGTGCTCTAGTTTCCTCTCACAGTCCAACGAGGTGCAGGTCAGGTGGATTGGCCAGGCTAAATTGTCTGTAGTGTATAGGGATGTGCAGGTTAGGTGTGTTAGCCATGGGAAATGTAGGATTACTGGAAGAGGGTAGGGATGTGGAATGCTCTTCGGAGAGTTGGTGCAGACTCAGTGAGCTGAATGGCCTCTTTCTGCACTATAGAGATTCCATGATTCTATTAAATTGAAGTTAATGTAATGTCTTTATTCATCAGTTGGAGCAGTAGTGCATGACTGGCTTAACAGTGATGCTCTATTGACTGGCTGTTGTTAAGTGTCCAGATTCTTGAAACCATTCTTGTGGCATCAATGGTGGTTTGCATATCCCTCAGCCAGGAGACCATGGGTTCATGTTCCACCTGATCCAGAAGTGTGCAATAGCACCTTTGAACAGGTTGGCTCGGAAACAGGCCCTCAAAAAGTTGTTCATGCATGGGAATTTTGGAACAACCAAAGCTGCCCTAAAGTGTGAAATCAAACCTTCTTTCAAGTGGTTACAAATTTCTTTGACCACCTTCTCAGAAAGTCTCATAGCCCTCAAATTATATGGAGTGGACTAGCATCTGAACAGAGCCTGGAGTAAATGCAGAATAGAAAGGTCAGAGCTACTGTGACAACAACTGGAGCTCATCGTCAAGTGAGCAAAGACCTCCAACTCCATCTCCCTAAATCACAGGCTCAAGGTTACAAGTGCAGATAAAAAGTTTATTCTGTCTGCACTGTCTCTCCAAAAGGAGATCTCACTTCATGCCATTTTTCTGCCTTCGCCCTGTAACTTTGTGCATTGTTCTTTTTCAATAAGTCTATTCCTCCTTAAGAATGCCTCGAATGAGCTTACTTCTGCTGTAGTCTCAGGTAATGCATTTTAAACCCTAGCCGGTCGCTGCTTGAAAACTTTCCTCATATCATTTTTATTACTCGCACTAATTCCTCTAAAGTGCAAAACAGGACTTGCCTGATAGTGGGTTATCTATAATGTCTGTGAGGGTTCCCAAGCCCCAATGGAAGACAAGCTAGCAACCACCAAGAATTTTATTTTAAATTAATTCATGGGTTGTGAATGCTGGAGAATCAAACCTTAATTACCATTAAGATGGTGGTGGTGCATGCCATCTTGAGCTGTTGTAGTCTGATTGCCCTTGTAGGGAATAGAGCAATGGTAATCCCCAGCACCACCCAATTCCTGTGTTAGAGTGCTTTATCTTAGCAACTGTCCATGACTGGCTTCTTGCCAACCAAAGGCTCAGCTGACAAAATGCTGGGCCTCCAGAATTAAGCCTGAACATCAGACAATGGAATTAAAACCCACTGCAGGCCAGGTAAATAAAAAAAAAAAAAAAAAAATCTGTTGCTGGAGTCAGTAATGCTGAAAATAAACACCACATTGAGAACTTACACTGAATAAAATCACTGTCTTTGGACTGCAGGAGAATGAAGGTCTGAAGAATCAGTTGAGGTGCGGCTTCCAAAAATGCCTCAAATAATCGTAACATGCTCAAGTCAGTCAGTGCATAGATGGCAGTCTCAGTGTCTCCTTGTTTAAATGCTGCTTTGTATCCAAGCAGAAGTGCTTTGCAGAACCTTTAAAATGGAAAGAGAAAAGCATTTTCAGAAATATAAGACAACGTAAGTCTAAATTTTTGTTGCCAAGTCATAGACAATGATTCAGGGCACTCCACAAAACCAAACTGTTCTGTAACTTTTGGATTTTCATTCTGTTTTCGGGAAGGGGAGGGGTCAGAGTTTTGAGGATTCGTGGCAGCCCCCTGTCCCCCTGAACCAGTGGGTGCCAAGTATAGAGGTGGAAAGTCTACTTTGGTGTTTGAGCACGTTGTCTGAGATTTCACAACAAGAATAAAACATAAATCAGTCCTCTAGCTCTCACTTCTAGTGACAGATCTTTTTGAGAGATCTGAAGTGATTATGTACCTTTGTTGCATATTGATGCCTGCATTAACCATTAGCCTTCCCAAAGGGCAGCTGCCTTTTTCAAAGATGTCTTGGAACTATTTCCAAAAGGGTATACTACCTCTCCAAAAGGGTACTGCCTCCACGGGGCACTCTATAAAGTTAAGAGATACACCTAAAAAGATATTCAGTACATACTTTATTTTCAACATCTAGCTAATGAAAATCAGATATAACTAAAGGCAATGCTATCTTATATGGGGAGTTGAGACATACATTTTAATATGCATCATTCCCACAGCAATGTTCTACTGGCCAGAGATCCCGGAATTGACAGAAGAATCACAGAATCCCTACAATGTGAAGCAGGCCATTCAGCCCATCAAGTCCACACCGACCTTCCGAAGAGCATCTCATCTAGACCTACCCCCTTACCCAATCCCTGTAACTTTGCATTTCCCCCACAGCCAATCCACCTAACCTGTACATCTTTGGACTGTGTGAGGAAACAGGAACACCCAGAGGAAATTCACACAGACACAGGGAAGGGACACTGGACTCAAGACATTAATTCTGTTTTCTCTCTTCATAGATGTTGCCAGACCTGCTGAGTTTCTCTATTTTTGTTTCAGAATTCTAGTATCTGCTGTGCTTTATTTTATTTTGGGTCATATACAGACACAAACTGTTGGTCAATGAGGGATAAGGCTCTATATTCCCCTGCCACGGAAGCAAACATCATTATTAATGAGGACCACGCAGCCGCCAGGAAAATCTTGGGGCCAACCCACAGCTTCCTGAGGCCCCTAGTTCTGCTGCCTGGACCAAGAAGAGTTTCTGCTAGTTCTGTGGGTTACTTCAGGCCTGAGGTGCTATAGGGTGTTTCAGGATAACAATCTTTCAGGTCTGAAACTATGTTCTGATTACGTGAATATGATCTACAACACTCGAGTCTGTTGTGAGCAGAAAGAGGCCATTCTGCCTATCGAGTCTGTACTCAACTTCTGAACAGCATACCACATGTAACACTGCATTTCCCATGACTATTCCACCTAGCCTGCACACCCCTGGACACTACAGAACAATTTAACATGGCCAATCCAACTCACCTGAGATGAGGAGAAATTTCTTCACCCAGAGAGTGGTGAGCCTGTGGAATTCTTGACTACAGAAAGTGGTTAAATCTAATAATTGAATGTTTTCGTGAAGGAGTTGAATATCCTTCTCAATTCCTGGACTCACCAGGAACTGGGTATTGAGTTGCATGATCATCCACGATCATATTGACTACTCACCAATCTTGAAGGACTGAATGCATTCCTGCTCCTATTTTCGATATTTGATCTTGGCTACACTCAGACTGATTCCACTTCGAGATTTCCTGCACCAATATTCCCTCCTGCTATTGCACTGATTTCATCCTTCACTAATATCACCACCCCATCTCCTTTTCTGTTTTGCCTGTCCTTGCGAAAAGTTGAATTCCTTCAATTCCCAGCCTTGGTCACCTGATCGACAAATCTCGAGAATCACAACCATATCATAACTCTGTATAACTATTTTTGCCAATGGTTCATACTTCCTTATTACTCCACACACTAAGACACAGTACCTTCATACTTTGGACATTTTCAACATTTTCTTTGCAGTCTAGCCCTATTTGTGGCTAGCCCTTGTTTCCTTTACCTTCCACTTTTGTTTCCTACATTCCTGTCTTTCATTTCCATCCCTGTTTCCCTCGACTCTTGTCCCCCTGCTGAGCTCACTGTCCCTTTAGTTTAACCCCTCCACCATTGTACTGGCAAGTGACCCGGAAAGGATTCGTTCCTAGTCCTGCTCGGATGCAACCTTATACAGGCCCCAACTTCCCCAGATAATATTATACTCATCATGGAAAAGTGCTGTGTGTAGACTGTTTGCATAATGCTTTTAAGATAACAGGTATTTAATTGAAGATACAGTGAAATGGATGTCCTGTTGTGGCTGTGTAAGGGCAAAGCCTTGCAACTTTCTACAATCCACGATACAGATAATAAATCTGCCATGCATGTTCGAATGTTCCCTTTCAGACGTAAACACGTGTGGCTGTGTAGCAGCATTAAAGGTCACACATAACAAAGTTAAATTAAGAAAACGTTGTCTGCTTTTCACTGCACCTGACCCTCCTACGGGAGACAGCCATCCCATTCTTCACTCGCGCATGTGGCAGTCCCACACTGCTCCTTCCTAATGGCTCACATTTCAATTATTCCTGCGCTGTTTCTACAGATGAGCATGTGGCCTTGGACCCCAGTTGAGAATATCCACTTAAAGGGCAATGGAGAAAAGAATGAACATCAAAACAAAAAGAGAATGTGAAATTTGAAAGGGTTCAGAAAAGATTTAAAAGGATCTTGCCAAGGTTGGAGGGTTTGAGCTATAGCGAAAGGCTGAATAGGCTGCAGCTATTTTCCTGGAGGATCGAAGGCTGAGGGATGACCTTTTAGAGGTTTATAAAATCATGAGGGATGTGGATAGGGTGAACAGTGAAGGTCTTTTCCCCAGGGTGGGGAGTCCAAAACTAGAGGCCCATAGGTTTAAGGTGAGAAGGGAAAGATTTAAAAGGGACCTAAGGGGCAACTTTTTCACACAGAGGATAATGAGTGTATAGAATGAGCTGCCAGAGGAAGTGGTGGAAGCTGGTACAATTACAACATTTAAAAGGCATCTGGATGGATGTATGACTAGGAAGGGTTTAGAGGAATATGGGCTAAATACTGGCAAATGGGAGCAGATTAATTTAGGATATCTGGTCAGAATGGACAAGTTGGACCAAAAGGACTGTTTCCGTGCTGTACATCTCTATGACTCTAAGAAAGAAGTGGGCATGGAAATTAAACAGAAAGATCTTAAGAAGAGTTTTGAAGGCAAGAAGTAGCAACTGGGTGGAAGTGCTGAAAGAGAAGGTTCCAGTACGCAAAAGACTTGTGGAAGCAGGAATAGAGAGAATGGTGAATAAGGAGCCACAAGAACATAAGAAATAGGAGCAGGGATAGGTCACCTAGCCCATTGAGCCTGCTCTGCCATTCAATAAGATGATGGATGATCTGTTCATGGACTGAGCTCCATTTACCCGCCCGCTCGAAGGAATGGTGAATGTGTTAAAAAGTGGCGGCTTAACGGAATGTGTTGCATGTGATGAAGCTGGGAAGGCACAAGATAAGGAATTAAACAATCACATGACTGGAGTTCAGTGAGGTTTGATGGTAATGACAGTAAAGAATGTATGAACATCAGTGCAGGCAAGTGTGCAGGCTTAAATGTTTTGGATGAATCACTGAAGTGTTAGAGTGCAGACGAAAAGCCATTCAGCCCATTGTGCCTGTTAACGAGCATCATTACCTCGTGCCAATCTCCTACTTTTTCCCCATACTCCTGCGCATTATTTTTATCCAAATAGTTAAGAATGCTTCAGTTGAACCTGCCGTCAACATACCTCAAGGTAGTACATACTATACCCTAACTACTCTCTGTTATTCAGAACACGTATTTCTTCATTTTTCCAATTTATTACTATGATTTTGTACTTTTGAAGGTCTGTAATGCTGGACTTTTTATTTCTTTACTTTCCTACTTTTTTCCTAAGAATTTACACTTAAGATTCTGTACCTAGGTACCTTTGTACCTAAGATGGCACCATAAGTGGCCACTTGTAAACTTTTCCATGTGCACACAAGTAAGTGTGACATTAAAGCTAATTCTAATTCAAAGTTGAGTGAAAAATATTTTCTTCACTTCTCACTTGCTTCTTTTGCAGATCACTTCAAATCTCTCATTCTTTTTCCTTTTTCAACTGCAAACAGCTTCTTCCTACCTACTCTTTCTAGCTACTCATGATTTTGAAAACTTCTATCAAATCTTCCCTTAACCTTTTTTCTCCAAAGAGGACAGTCCCAACTTCTTCAATCTGTCCTCAGAACTGACATTCCTTATCCCTGAAACCATTCTTGTAAACTGCTTCTCCACTGTCTCCAATGCATTTACATGCTCCTCACAATGCGGCAACCAGAACTGTACACAATACTCCATTTGAGGTCTAACAAGTAGCTTGTATGATAATGATCAGCTGTAGTTTGTGGTAAAATTATAAGCAAATTGATATTAGATACAAACAAATGTATGAGATAGTTACTTACACAGCCTATAATTTATTCCTTCTGGAATCAATAGAGATCTGTTTATAATCCAACATGCCTACTTTGAAATTTGATCCTTTCAGCAAATTTATTATCACCATGTTGGAACAAAGTCAGCTTATTACTCACTATGGTTTAAAATTAGTTCTCAAGTGTGTGATGAATATTTTCTTAATGTAGCTGGGCACACTCATTTGTACTGCACCCAATTAGTCATTTCACACTGCAATACAGCAACACTGGCACTGGGTGAGAGGTGACAGGGACATGATTGTGAGATCTGGAAGACCAGTATGGCGGTGAAGAAGGCAGTTGGTTTGCTTGTCTTTGTTGGTCAGTGCATTGAGTATAGCTGTTGGGAGGTCATGTTGTGGCTGTACAAGACATTGGTTAGGCCACTTTTGGAATACTGCATTCAATTCTGGTCTCCCTGATATAGGAAGGATATTGTGAAACTTGAAAGGGTTCAGAAAAGATTTACAAAGATGCTGCCAGGGT